TAAAAAACAATCATTGTCTATATACTACTAAATCTCTTGTGTCTATAACATTCAACTGCAAAACAGTATCCCATAGGGCAACAATTTTTGAACCAAGGAACCTCAAATGTGCTAACTTACAGAATGTGTCCAAATTCCAGGACCCATTACTCCTGTGGGACTGAAATTTCGGAAATTTGTGGCTGGTTCAGCACTGTGCTGCAGTAGTCAGCCCAGGTCACGTGATCGTCATGGGCATATTCCCGACCTCTTTCTCACCTTCCTCTGTCCCCTGTGCCCAGTCGACCAGCGGCAAGGCCTGACAGGAGAGTGGCAGTTGGCTGCTTTGGAACTGAGGCAGAAATTTGAAATCTCTTAATGGCAGTTGGTGGTGAGGGAAGGATGAGGGAGTGACTTGGATGCCTGTTAGTGAGGTAGGGCTGGCTGGGGGGTGCCGGTGGTCGATGGGTGAGCCCTGTTCCTCCCTTGAGGGAGGGGGCCCTTGGGGACACACTGGAATGAGGAGTGGGGGTGCAGTTTTCCTTATGGTCTGTGGCTCCCTTTGTTCCACCTCCCCCCAGCAATGTGGCAGGCAGTTCCGCGGGACAGTTGAGGAGGGGGAGGAGCCTTCACCAGGGCTCTCTTGAGGGTCGTGAGGGGAGAGCAAATGGTGCAAGCCTATATTATATGTGGAAATGGAGGCAGGGAGGGAGGGAGGAAGGAAGGAAGACTTCTGCCAGCTTCCTGCTAGCAGCAAGTTGCAAGTCGCTCACTCCTGCTGCTTTTTGGCCCTTGGTCATTCTGTTTCTCTGTTTAGGTAAGGAAATATCTCTGAAACGATGATCCAACGGATCACAGGTTGTCTAGTAAAAAGATAAAAAGTAATTATTAAAATATACATTTTATATTATATATATATACAATACAGTATATATTTTAAAAATATACAAAGCTCAGGGAGAAAGCAAGCATATCAATCACGGTGGAGCCATCTAAGAATGTCTCTGGTTCCCAAAGACCTCCAGGCCTGATAACATTGCCAGGTCTTGAGAGACTTCCTAAACAACAGGAGGGAAGGGGTGTGCCTAACTTCAGGAGGGAGAATGTTCCACAAGGAGGGAGCCATGGCAGAGAAGGTCCACCTCCTGGGACTCACCAAATGCAAGTCCCTGGCTGATGGAACGCGTAGCATACCTTCCCTGCCATATAAAATGGATGCAAAATTTTACAGAAGTAATACTGTAACAGTGGAACAATGGGAAGAATTATGGAAAAAAATCAATACAGTTTACATCAAAACACAGTCAGAGGGCAAATTAGTATAAAATGTACTGTAAATAGTATATAACTCTTCAACTATTGCCAAGATGGAAAAATTGTACAGCAAAAATATTGGAAATGCCTTAACAAAGAAGGAACATTTTATCATATGCGATGGTCATGCAAAATGATTGAAAAGTATTCAACAGAAATATACCAAAACATCCAGAAAATTTCAAAAATAAATTTTGAATTGAATTGAAACCATAAATATTTTTGTTAAGCATGATCCCAGAGAATATAAATGAAAAGCATAATAACTTATGAAGTTATATGCTGACAGGATCAAGAATCAGTGTGGCACAACATTGGAAAAGAGAAACCTTGCCGAAAATACAAGATTGAAAGACCAAAAATGGGGAATATGTGGCAATGGAAAAATGTACATTGTACATATTCATAATAGAATCTAACTAAATTCAAGCAGAAATGGCTCCCTCACATACAACATAAAAGCATAGTATAAAAATTCTATATTGAGAAAAAAAAGAAACGAAGAACTAAAGGGGAGTCTGCTTGAAAGTTTTTTTTCTTATAGAATTTTTTTCTGTTTTGTTATTTTAATAACTGAATACAGTTATTCACCCTTTGAATTCTTGCTTCAGCCCTCACCTCCAATTGTTTCTGCTCGCCCAGTATGTTCAGGCAGAGTAGATTGCTCCAGGTCCCATCAATTAAACGTTGCCATCTTGCAGGACCAAGGAAGTGTGCCTTCTCTGTTGTGGCCCCTGCCCTCTGGAAAGGCCTCCCCCCAGAGATACATATGGCGCCCAATCTCCTGGGGTTCCAGAAGGCCCATAAGACCTGGGTCTAGTTCTAGGCCTAGGGCTAATGGGTTTGTGGGGCCCCTGTTGTGTTTTATTGTTATGGCAGTTTTTAGTTTGGGTTGTCTGTTTTATGTTTTTAACTTAACTGCTTATTTAGATTTTGTAACAGCCCAGAGTCTACTGGGAGGCCATAACAAATGTAAACAAATAACAACAGCAATAATAATATTGATTTTTAAAAAAGATAAGTAACAACATAGATAAATCAGGGATTACTCTACTATGTATGTAATCATATGCATCTATGTATTCTATAACTTCCCCCTTTTTTGTTTTTCCTTTTGTTTTTTACTTAATAAAAATAAAAATTATATGTAAAAAGGTTAGAGAATGTGGGGAAACATATGCATAGTTATAGGCAATGTAATGGGAGACACTGGAGGCTGTTACAGAAGAGGATCATGCAGTTGTGCTGATCCACACTCATGTCTATCTGCCTCTTTGTTGGATCTAGGGATCCAATTGGGTACTTTGGTCACCAATTGTTGCTGGTTAATGCCAGGTCTGTGAGCAATAAGGGTGAATCCCTATTCAGTTTGGTGGTAAACAAACAAGTGGATGTGTCCTGGTTGGACAAGGACAGGGCCTTGTCCAAATCTCCTGTGTTCCTGTCCAGATACTGCTATAACTGTGATTTTCATGCTGCAGAGAGAGCATGGTGGTGATTTTGCATGAGACCTTGTCTGTAACCAGTGGTGTTCACCCTGCAGGTAACCTGGTGTGAGTACTTGTATGTTAAGTTGGGCCTGAGAGGCAAGCTAGGGCTGTTGGTGGTGTACTGTCTCTACTACTGCCTGGTAGCAGCCTTGTCCAAACACTTCGCTCTCATAGCTGGGTTGATGGTAGTTTGGGATCAGATAAGGTAATTATGGTGATAAAATTATTAAGCATAAATACTTTTGCATGATTTTTGCACCTCCAGATTCTTGTCCAGGATACTTATTCAAGAATATCTGTACCCTTCAGAAGAAGAAAAAAAAAGCAGGTATCTTGCAGGCTTTTAAGGTTCTTTGCAGATAAAATTACTCAAATTTGGTCTGAGTTAGATACTACTTGAGCAGTTGATTCAGATAACATCTTGTGAGTTTATCTGTAATTCTTTTGAGTGTTAGGACTCTGAGGTGGATAAGAACCTTTGGTAATATGAGCCCCACCACTTGTTATTTACCATCTATAGACCAATGGGGGAGAGAATCCATTGGTTTGGGGTGAGCTGTGATTACTATGCTAATAATATTCAACTGTACTTTTCCACCTCAGACTGGACTGGATGTTATGGAGATCCTTACCTGGTGCTTAGAGGCTGGATGGGACAAAACAAGCTCAAATTAAATCCATCAAGACAGTGAGTTACTATTCTCAAGTGACCGAGCTGGCTTGTTCCAGTCTCAAAATTCATTCCTTATGAAGCAGATCCATGACTTGAGATCCTCCCGGATTCAGAGTTCTTGCTTGAACAGCTGGTGGAAGCTGGGACCAGAGGGCCTCTGCCCAGCCTTAGCTAGTGTACTAGTTGTAGGCCCTTTTGGACTAGTTTATAGCAATGATTCACACCCTTCTTACCATGCATTCAGATTGCAATACATTCTACATGGGGCTGCCTTTTAAGATTAACTGGAAACTGCAGTTGGTCCAAAATGCAATGACCTGCTAGTGGGAATAAGCAAGTGTAGCAGTGTAACTCCAGAGCTTTGGTTGCTGCATTGGTTACCAATAAACTTCCAGGTCTGATTCAAAATACTAGTTTTGTCCTGTAAAGCCTCATCTAGCTTGGTTCCTGTGTATCTCCAAGACCATCTTTTGTTCAGATTTATTTTTTATTCTGCCTTAATTTTTTGGACAACTCAAGGCAGTGTACATACTTAACACTTTAGCCTATCCTGTGCATTTACCCCAAGAGGGGATGTTATCTTCTTTGATTAATAAAAGCTTTCCAGGGCCTTATAAAGGTCAACCTGGGGTGGCAAATCTTTTGAAGCAGATTCTAGAGACAGGAACAAAGGTATACTTACATGCAAAATGCTTTATCAGTGTTATCACTGAACAATGGCCTCCATTCCCCCAAATCATCAGAAATTGAAAAGGGGGCATGGTGAAGCTCCATTATCCTCAAATGCTTTACCTATCCATTAGCTATAATGCTTATGTTTAAAATGTATTTAATTCCAATTAATTCAACATGGTTAAATCACTAAAATAGCAGTTTAATGAGGTGTGTGACTTTTTAACAGCCACACAATAGAACATTTATATGGTTTGTAATTAGTTGTGTTCCTTCACGTTAGTCACCTTATTGTCATGATTTATGTTTATTTCTTTGTTTTAACCTTAATTATTCATATTTTGTAAGCAACTTAGAGTTACTATTGTGATTGAGGCAGCCTATAAGTAAATTAAAGTTTCTATAAAACCAATGAATTAGTTTGTATTACCAATATATACTCTCAGAAATGTCACTGTTGTGATAATCTTCCAACAGTGAATATAGTTGCATATGAATACATATGCATCCTTCACTATTTCTGCAAAACAGAATACCATACCAGAGCAATCAGATTTTTGGTTTTTCAATAGTTTGAGGACTGTTAACCATTATCCTCAGTAGAAAATTAATATATCCTGATAAATATCTTATTATAGAGCTCTCCTATATATTTTTCATTAGAATTAAGCTCTGAGTTCTATTGGATTTATGCTCAATTAACTATAGGTAGGACTGCACTTTTGGAATCACTTATTTTCACCTGTGAAATTTCCAAGGGTGTCTGCAGTAGATGGGGTTAAATGACAAAATATGTTTGTGATGTCAACTCTAGCCTTTTTGTATTTGTATCATCGTGGAGGCTGAATCATGTCATCTTAATGCACATTTCATCATTTATGTAAGGTATTTTATTAAATAATTCAGTAAATGATCTGTACATGAGAATTTTGGTTCTGCATGATTTATGTATCAGACAATGATTCATGTTTTTAGTACATAACACAGCAATCAATTGTCGCTCTCCAGATGTCTTTAATTCCTGTCTTCAAACTGTGCCTTATTTTTTAACAGATATGCTGCTAAGAATTCAATAGGGTTTGGAGGCCTGAAAAGAAAAAAGAGAAACAATAGCTATGAAGTGGAAAGTTCTTTTAACTTCAATTAAAATATTGAAAATTAAATCCATAGACATAATTCAAATCCATAATTTTAAATACTGAATATTAAATATATAGAATGTTATTTATTTAAAAAGATGAAAAAAAATACTTTTGAGTGTTGTTTCAGATTGCCAGACATTTCATTTCATTATGCAACCAGCCTCTGAAATATACAGAATAAATCATGACTAGGTAAACCCTCTGCTGGTTTATTAATTTAAGTCAGAACTTCAATTTCATGTATAATTCGGGCTTCTGTTCTCATTTCATCTATTACAAAGGGAGAGGTATTTTTCAGCTGAGAACTGTGTGCTTGCAGGAGATAGAATCATCTGCTTTCTGAAATCTGTTATTTTGTGATACAGTCCTTCTCAGGGCCTTCTCTGCATATACCAATCTGTTTAGTTCCAACCCCATGCTTTCTTCTCTTCAACTCAATGTTTTTCCACATATTTGATATTGCAAGTCATCTTTAGCTGGTCACTGGCCACCAAGAAACTAGAACTAGATGGAAGGACTTCTGGGGAAGAAATGGCGAACTGAAGACACGAAAAGTGGAGCCAACGACCGCAGTGGAATGAAGAGCCAGCAAGTAGACCGGCTCTTCGAAATTCCTCTGGACTAAAAAATAAAAAATTTATAAAAAAAAAAAAAATTCCTCTGGACAAGGAGAGAACTTCAGATTGCTCACAAGTGGTCCAAACGGTTGCTCCTCATGAGGAGACCGCAAGACAGCAGTTTCTGGAAGGTTTATTTATTTATTCATTAAATTTATATGCTGCCTATCTCCCCCAGAGCTTTAGTCCTCTGGAAGACGAGGGAATAACCATCTTGCTCAAACCACAGTTGGCGCCTTTAAAAGGACACTGGGTC